ACGGCGAGACAGTTTATTGAACCGAGCCGTAGGCGAGTTCCACAAGTCGAGAGAGTGTGAAAAAAAAGTTTTCAAAAATTGGTGACATCCGCAACTTATGTTATCATGTCAAGATGTTATATATAGGGCCAAAATAAATAAAAAAAACTAATTAGCAACGTCTGAAAAACTTTTTCGCGCGCTGTGCGAAAAACTCTATTTTCAGAGGTTACCTAGCGTGTCAAAAATTCCATTTTCAGATGCAGTACTAGGAAAATTAAGTTTGCAAAACGGTGGTTTAAGCTTATAGTCCAATTAGAAAATGTATTTATTGAAACTGTTAACCGGTGTATTTTTCAATTCATAATTATTTGAATGGCATTGCCGACTTGCCTTTTTATAGTATCGTAAAAATTTATATCCCTATAAAAATTGTGCATTTCCCGTTAAATTGAAATATTTTACTATCTGACTTTCATTGTGATGAATGAAAGCTAACCTACCTAGCGCTTTAATAAATAATCTGGTTGCTTGAACTCGAAAAATGGGGGCATTGTAACCCAATTTATCTGTTATTTGTTTGCATTAATGTATATGTATAAACGTATAGGTAGGAGTATCAGATGTTCATTGTCTCAAAACAAAAGCAACCCCTCGAAAAAGGGCGTATATAGTTTTTTTTTTATTTCCGTTGGCACTTCTGGCTTACAAATGGCACAATTTTTCTAAAAAAGCGCATATAAGTCAGTCGAAGCGGCCGACGGAACGTAAATCAGCGGGGATTGTTCCAGAAGTGGGATTCTGGATGTACTTTTCATAAATTGCGGCGAGGGCTTTTAAAAAAAGGATTTTGTATACTATATATAAGAAATCCATTTTTTGCAACGAGGATTTTTCGCTCAGGAATTTTTTATTACGTTATTTCTTGCTTATGTGATCAGTTGCAAAGTAGCATCTGACTAATTAAAAAAGTTGGGCCCGATCAAATTCTACAGATATTTTACCACTCTTTTGTTTTCCTCGAAAATCGAGCCTTCTTCGCAGCAGAGGTCGTAAATTATGTCAACGCGCATCGTTTTGCGGTAGGAACTGATTTATTCACGTTTTTGTATTTCTAATTACATCTTTCCTTTGTTTCATCCTTTATGGGAAATATATATATATTTTTTTTTTGTCTAGGTGCCTGTATTGATTTTTTAAATTTTGTCCTTTCCTTGCATCATTTAATTATCCTTTGTATTTACTAGTCTTGCTTACGCTATTTTGATTTTTTAAGTTGTTAGTTGATGAATGACGATGGCGCCACATCTGTTTTAGCGACAGGACCGCGGATATAAAAATGTAAATGGTGAGTAGGAGAAGTTGTCTATGTTGATATGCTGTTGAATATCAACGATATCACACACTACACAGGATAGCCCATTCTCATAAAGCCTGTGTAGTTGAAATCTCAAGCAAGCCCAATGTCAAAGTTCCAGTGATGACGTAGCCAGGCCTGTAGTTTTTCGCCTTGATGTAGGGTATTTGCAACACAGGCTATCATTCCGCTGGCTTTTGGTTTGTGTGAACATGATTTCAGTACATTTTAAAACAAACCTTTTTCAGATCTCGTTTGCATATTTCTCATTATACATTTTTTATATTCTAAACTATGACCGCTGGGGCAAACAGCTGACGACACCGTTGATGACGTCGGCAACCGTGCTACACCATGACCGTGATTACAAAAATCGATAAGAAATCCTGTAGTAGTGTGTAATATCCTGTAACCTTTTTTGTTAATGAATTAACAAGAGGCCCATAATAATAGGCTCAGTTTGCCTAGCGAATAATTATTAGAGATGGGTTTATAGTTTAATAAGTATACAATGGCAAGGGCGCCACTGAATTTCAAAAAAAAATTGATTAAATTACATAAAATATTGGGATGTGAAAGTTCAGAAACACACCTAAAAAAAATAATCATATATTATATCACAAGAAATTTAAATTTAATCGATTAAACTATCCAACATATTTCGAGCATGATTTTGCTTGGAAAATAGTTGAATGCACAATAACAAAATTTACTTAAAAGTTATTGTGCATGAAACTATTTGCCAAAAAGCAATATTATGCAAAAAATATTTAGATAGTTTAATCCATTTAAATTTATAGGTCGAGTGGTATACGGCTAGATTATTTCCTGAATAATTAGGATTAAATTTTTGGCGTCAATCCTATCCAAAGAGTTCTATTTATTATAAAATGTCAGAATATTTCTATCAAAATTCTGTCAAAAAAGGTAATCAAAAATTTAATCGCTGATAAACAAGGTCTTGTGAAATAATCACTTATTTAAACAAAATTCATTCAAAAAATGACTTTGTCTGATGGGTCTATTTCATAATGCATGAAATAATCAAGGTAATTGGTAATTCTGGAAAGAAAATGAATACGGCATATAACTCAACCAAATCTTGACACAGGTGAACCAATAAAACAATCAAGTAAGTATCAAATTAAATTGGTGTTTATTTCACAGTGAGGTTGAAAATCAAGTATTGAATAATTTCAAAGTATAAGATCAATTATTGCTGGTAAAACACTTTAAATAAAATCAATAAATAGAAGTTAACTCTCAATCAGTTTCATCAAATTAAAAAAAAAAAAAAAAAGTTTATAAAACACTACTGAAAAATGTAAGGAAGATACCTATTTGCGGGAAAATTTATCAGCGGAGTTTAAAAGCCCATAAAATCGATGAAGGATAGGAAATCACATTTTTGTGGTCTAGAAAAGTTCAAGTTGAAAAACTTGTAGAAAAAGTATCCTAATACCACTCTTCTAAATAAAAAGTTAACTTCTACCCCACATCTATAGACATTCTGTCTTAAAAAATCCAATATGAGCAAACCCAAATAACCATTGTTTTAATTGACTGTCACAGCTATCTGGCGATAGATGTTAATCTATCTTACTGATAGGAATTCTTTGGATCCAATGGGTTTTCGATTCTACTTTTTTATATAAATGGTTTTTATTCGAGCTTACCCAACAAAAGTAATGGATCAGATTTATCTTTTCCCGTGAGGATTCGTTTTAATTGCCAATGAAAATACCGAAAAATAGAATTCTATGAAGAAATGCGGAAGAAATGAATTTTTAAAATTTAATAAACGCTCAAATGTTCAGTTTCCGGTTTTATTTAGTTCTTTACCACAAACCTCAAGTTTGCCCATTACAATTTCTAATTGCATATTTAAAACTCCGTTTCAGAAGTTCAAACCGAAAAGACAATTTTAGTTTTAAACTTTAGGTTATTATTTTGGAAAAGCTTGATGTACTAGTTTTAATAAGATCTTAGGCTTGGGGGAAATATGTTTTTGAGTTAGTCCAAGACTTTCAGCAAACTTATCAGGAATAGAACTTAAAATTAATGATTTAATGTTTCATTAATTTGAACGCAAATTTCTAGTTCCCCATTAAATATGTATGTCCACAGCGCATATGAGACCAACACCTGGTGCAGTCATGATTGTAGATGATTGAATTTACATAATAAACTTGGACTTTTCATCTGAATCGAGATTTGCAGTTATAATTTTGATAGATTTTTCTAATGGTTTTCGCTTGGTTCCAACTAAAAATAGTTTTCGAATCCTTCAAAATAGATAAATGGACAGTTGTTACTAATAAAATACTACTAACCCGAATTGAATTTTATGAATGTTTTGAACGATTCTAGCGGGCGTTGTATGAGGATTTATTACAGAGATAGCATAACCAACAAACATTTTCCCTGCAAAAAGATTGAAAATACATTTACATTGCATGCGGGAGCAGAGAAAATGTTGGGCGATTTTCTGCTCAATAAATTACTGAATTGTGGTATTAGAAGTTTTGTCTTACTTCGGAGATATTCCATTTTGAAAAATGGTTTCTATTTTTTTCTAGGCATTTTAAAAATAGGTAGGTATTGTCAACTACTTAAGTAAATACCACTCTGTACATCAATTTCACTAAAGTTTGTCGACGAGTCAGCATTAATTTGGTATAAATACCGCGCCGAAAGCCATTACCGGCAGACTAAGGCTAGTGCAGAGTACCTCAAATGGGAAAAGCCCCTCTAGCTAAGTCTCCTCCCAGTGCAAACTACCTTTAATGGGAAACGCCTTTCTGGACCTGTCTCAAACCTAGCTTCTTCTGGGAGCATTGAACGCAGCAGATTAGGTTCAATGCAAACTGCCTCTATTGGGAACCGCCCTTCTGGACCTGTCTCAAACCCAGCTTCAGTCTTCAGTCACGCCAAGTGTATAGAGGGTACATATTACAGAGTGGCCTATAAGTAGTACGTCCCTCCGTAGAAGAGACGTCATGATACTATTTCTAGGGTAATATTACTATTATTCAATACATTATCTTATTATACCTATACCAAACGAGTTTCTCTCTACCTGAACCACACCTACGCCCCCAGGTCACGCGTCTATTGTGACGTCCAAGGACGAAACGTATAGGGGTTGTGACATATTTGGTGGAGACGCCGGGTAAATACATTATGATACAAAAATAGCGAAAAGGAATAGGGGCGATGCAATTACTAAAAAATTGATAAAAACTGTGGTGCGCCAAGAGATCCCGTCACGGGTTGGGTTTTGCCGTTAGGTTTCTCTGATTATCTTCAAATTCTTTTCTGAAGTTCTCCGTGATCTCTTTCCATCCATGAGCATCATTATCCTGTTGGAACAACAGGTTGACAGCTCCGTCCAGGAAAGTTTCAAAATATGCAATTTTTAACTTATCGTCCCATCCGTTCGCTATAGCCGTTCTTTCATAGGTCCTTAAAAATTCTGTGGCCCTGGATTTGCATGGGTGGAAGGTCGGGGGATGGATGAACTCTGGTACCTTCGCCTTTTTCGCCGTTAACATTGCATCACTAATTGTTATATTGGCCATTGTTCGCGTTGGTGTGGTAGATCTCGGTCTCGCACAGGGCTCGTTTGCCGTTCTTGATTTGCAACTTCTGGCGGTTGGTTGACTAGCGGCTCTTGAAGGGTAAGGTCCAATAGGGAACCTCCTCCGCATATACTAGTTATAGTTTCAAGACAAAAAGGTGTCTTCTGTGGTTGTATCTGTGTTGCCTGGACGATTTCTTTCCTGATTCCCGTGCTTCTGTGTTTTGGCTTGAACGGCGATGCCCCTGTGCTTAATGATCTTAGATTATACTTCTTAGGCTCACCTTCGGACATTCGTAATAAAAAATGCTAATATTTGGTTTTTTTGGGTGCGGTAGGATTCTTTCACCAGTGCCTTTGCGAAGAAACTTCTATGGTACGTCTCGTCAAAAATGAAAAACCAAAAAAAAAAAATGGTTTCATTGGAAACGCCTTCGCCACTATATCAGGAATCTTCTGCTGCTGCTGGGTCACTAAAATTAGTTTATAATTATTTATATATTTTATTTTGTGCCCTATTTTTTTCTCCAATATGGTGTCGTCAAGATTCTGCGTTATTTCTTCTGTACCGCTGTTTCTGGGTCCTGGGTGCCGAAACGGCGCCTCCACCAAATATGTCACAACCCCTATACGTTTCGTCCTGGGACGTCACAATAGGAGCGTGACCTGGGGGCGTAGGTGGGGTTCAGGTAGAGAGAAACTCGCTTGGTATAAGTATAATAAGATATGTATTGAATAATAATATTAATTAATAAATAAGCTCACTCAATGCAGTACCTTCGTAAATGGCCATTTAACCCCAGTGTACAAGTATTTCCTGTATTCAGTGCAGCATGTATTTATGGGATAGTTATGAGAGAAATATAGATCAATAATTAATGTTGAAGTAACAATAAATAGCCTGAGGGGCAAATTTAATAGTATGGAATAATATAGAAGGTATAGATAAATACTTAAAATTGAAGTACCTAATAGTACATAACCTGAATGGTAAATTTCATATGATAAAGGTAATATAGAAAATTAATTAAAATTGAAATAAAAACACATAATTCTGAAGAGTAATTTAATACTGTCGTAGAACTGCGTTGTTGTGGTGATTCACTCCAACAAGGGGTTGGTAAGGTTTGATATTAAGACAATACAACACACTTATCAAACCTGAGTAGTCCCTAAACTCTTGGAGAGAACCTGACAGGTGGGATCAATATCTTCCAGTGTTTCCAATGGCCTGGGACTGGATCAGGGCCGCAACAAGAAGCAACCTGGACCTGGGCACTGAAGTTCAGTAACTAGGAGTCACTAAGGCTTCCAATGGTCTAGAGGAGGCTGAAGATTGTAGGTACTACTTGAAATATACAGTAAGCTGAACGTATAACTCTTTACTGAAAGTCAGGGACTAAAGCGTGACGAATAAAAGGTGACATCTAAAGGTAAAGGCCTGAAACAAATGGACTTTATGAGACTGGGCGTGGAGCAATAGGTAGGTATGTCCAATATTCGGAATTTAACCATATTATTAACAGAAAATTATGCTTTTACATAGGCAATAGAGAAACACAGAGAAGACTAATAAGAAAAACGACTTACCAAAATTCTTTGGCCTTTAGGAACAAACAATTGTTCACGTTGCTCTTTTTCGACTCATAAAAAAAATCCGCACAAGGCGATTGGGTGCTAAAATAACGGATTAGCCACCCTAGATGTATGAGCGAAAACTAGACAACTCAGAAAATCGGCAAAATGTGCCTGAGGAATTTTCCCGAACACTTAATCATGACAAGTCCTCGACCTGAATGACCTCTGCTTGTCCCTGCAATGTCCTTCAAAAAGGTTCTGTCAAAACTCCAAGGTGGAAGGTACTGGGGAATTTTGATGGTAGTTGGGGCATGGGACTTATTCAAATTAAGTTAGTACCCGGTCATTGACTCTATTTGGAGCGCTGTCAGTCTAGTCAATCTACTCGGATCAGACAATCAGCTGTTCTAGTGTAAATATTGTGATTTTGTTTGTTAATAAATTAATTGTCTATTTATTTTAACCCTACTAACAGGAAATCAATTCCATTAATAAACCTCCAACTCAACGATTCTGGGAAGAATGAAAAGTTTGATGAAAAGTGTGGCTACAACTATTGGATAGAAAACAGTGGCTTGAGGAAGGTATGCTATTCAGAGAGGTGAATAAGCTTATTTCCTTTTATTTTGGTGCGGGAAAAATCATCCCGTAACAACCCCTAATAATTATCCGCTGAGCAAACCGAGCATATTATGGGCCTCTTGTTAATTCATTAACAAAAGGGCTTACAGTTTCCGAAGTAGTGCTCTAGACTTGGCATTTATAAAAACAGCAAACGAATGAGTCATCTACGGTTGGCCGAATGCATCGTACTCTTTTCCAACAGTTTTGAAGTCGGTGATTGAAAATATTTCTATGGAAAAATTCATAGATCTAAGTCGGATACTATAACTTTAAAAAAGCGACCAAACATAGGAAATCGTTTGGAGAGCAAAGCTAGAATGGGCAGGCTCTGGCAAGCTTTCATGAATTCTGATGAGCCAAAAGATTCTACTTTTCCGTTGAAGCAGAGTTGCCAACCAATGTGTATTACCAATGATAATGATAATATCATAATTATGATTACATCCAAGACCAACTATCTGAATCAAAGGGCCATGGAGCGAAAAATGAAAAACATAGGCTTCATCTTCAATAACTAAAAAACTGAATAAGAGCAAAACCCAGGTTAGAGGATGAATGATCAAAAATCACTTAAATAAATGAAGTTGGCAAGGCACCTTGCGATACGGAAAGACCACAGATGGAAATCACTACTGGTACAATGGATACCATTATCCTGGGCACAGAGAAGAGGCAGTCCACGGATGAAATTGATCCACGATCCCAAAATTGGAGAATGTCTATACCCGAAGATGGATACCACGCTAAAGACGAAAAACAAAAAAAATTGCTGACTTCAACTGAAACTTTAAAATATCAGTTCAATCATGTGAGTATCAGTAGCGAATAAGTAAGCAAGATTTCTCATCTGAGCTCCATAATCATCACTGTGGATGAGAATAAAATGCTATTCGAGAAAGAATTTTTGTCACAAGGAGTGATATTCGTGAATTACTTAGCGATACAAAAAATCCTGAGTTTTATCAAATTGAGTACCTTGTATCTTCATGAAATCCATGGCAGATTTTGTTCTTTTTTTTCAGATGTGTCCGTTCACAACAAGGAAGCAGACCAAGTAATTGAATAGTACCTATACAAAATTTGGAGAGCATCGTCTGCCAGCAGGACCGACTGGAGCTATTGTTTTTCTTCCATGAAAAACTATCGATCTAATTTCCGGATGAATCTTTCTCCTGTGACGCTACCTTTCCAACTATAAGGTTTTGAAAGAAGTTTGAATTAATTGATATTGGAAAATATTCCGGAAAGACATAAAAATAAAACACTTCTCCACAGAATCATTGAAATAAACATTTTATACTGGTCTTAAAAACTTTATTTTGGAGAAACTCTATAAGAAAGCACAATTGGATCCATGCTATCATAAAAATTAAAAGGAGAAGAAACCTATCAGAAAATGTCTATAAAATAGTAAATGATTCTCTAATTTGAAAATAGCTTTTGTTGTACCTATATCGTTTTATGTATCAAGGTTGCATCATTATGCATGTTTAGCTAGTTATTACTATATTTATTTCAAAATTTGACGTTTGGTGATGTCTTGAATAGGGCGTTTTAGCTTGTGTAGGAATAAAACTAGATGATCATAAGGTGCACAATTATAAACTCTGGAATAAATTTGAACCTACGCAAATGTATAGATATAATCATAAAGTATTTTTTAAATTGGGGCAAATATACAACACACCGGTGTAAATTCAGACTCATAAAAAAAGTTAAGTTTCCACAATGGGAAAATAACCATTTGAAGTTAGGTTATCCTTATACGGCTTAGCGTGTTTAAATTTATTTGTCGAGAAATGTTATTATACCCATTTTGTTTTATTTTGCCAGATATAAAACAGCTTTAAATTTAAAATTTTCTGGAATCCCATAGACATTATATGCTAAATTTTCTTCTAGCATTTGTTGAAGTGAATGATTCATCCATAATTTGTTGTAGGTACCGTGTAATTTCCTAATATTTCCGATTCAAATATCGTTGTCTCTTGTTGATTATCCTTTCAATATCCACCGGTAATGAACATTATTCTCAGTTCTATTCTCTTCATTGGACCTCATCATGTTTTATATTAACAAATACTGCAAATTATTTGGTGAGATTGGACAGTTGTAGTTGTTCCTGTACCATTTGGAACTTCTATTCGCTTTGCATTTTGTTTTAGGGCAAAAAGAAATTTATCCTTGAATTAACATCGTCTTATTCGAATGTTGCAACTTTTAGGTGAGAATATCAATCCAGTAGTCTAGTTTCAAACCGAAAACCTTCTCGGGCTGAAATTGCTTTATAAGAACAAGTTCGACGGCAATCATGTGGAAATCGTATGCTATCGTATCGTATTCTATACTATCGTATATCCCTGGTTTTGAGTAATGACTTTGTGATTAGTACTGTTTTTAGTGAATCAATGCTTTGGCTGGTCGGTGTGATTTAGTTGGGTCCTGATATTTTTCTATACTTATCTATTTCTTGTCGCCTATTGCTAATTCTTGTGATTCAAATCAGGGTAAACCCCAGTACCCAGTTTGTGACATAGATCCGCCAAAGGCGAGCACTATCCTCAACTAAAAACTGCATTATGTTAAGTAAAATGACCTGGTGAACTGTTTCTCATTTTCCAGTGAATCCCGCAAGAAAACCGAAATTCTGCTGTAGTTGGTTCACAGGAAAAACAAGCAGAAATAAAAAATATTGTCACGGCTCTGGGGTGCGTGTCAGAAAAATTGGGTTTGTTTATTCCAAAATCAAAATCCATTTAACACAACAATAATTTATTTCACGTTACTACACACTCTGACACTAATTACTTCACTAATTAACACAAACAACTTAACTCTTTACAGCTTTTACAATAATCACTATCTAAAACGTATAGCAGCCAATCTTGAACTTAAACACTACTAACTAATACCGGCCTTTATATATCCCTAATCTATTCTTGTAAAATCATGTATCCCCAGAATTCGTGCCCTCACTTCTTCGGCATAATCTGAAATTTCTTCTCGTTCTTCTTCAGGTATTCCAAACATCAGATGGCAAGGTAACCTAGGTTCCCTTCGAAAAACAATTCTAGCTGGACTTTCACCTGTTG